GACGGATAGATGGAGGACATTACAATAGAAAAGCAGAGGAAGCAAAGTAGAAAGACGTGAGGAGGAGGCAGCAGGATTTGCTTTTTCAGCTGACCTCTCTAAATTCTATTTTTAAAGATCTCTGGGAAAGAAAATTCTTCAAACTCCCTTGGTAATATGTTCAATGTTTATCACCTCTCACTGCTTACTTTAGTATATTTAACTGAAATCCCTCCTGTGGCAATTTAAACTATTATTCTATTTTTCTGGTTAGATAGAGAAGAATAGTTACCATTATATATATATATATGTATATATATACACACAATATACCTCTCATATACTCCAAGACGTTACCCATCAACCTCCATTTTTATAGGCTAAATAATCTAACTTCTCAGAATCTTTCTTCGGGGGCCTTGTCCTTGAATTTACTATTCATTATACCAATCAGTTCTCTCTTTTCTTCCTCATTATCCTTCCAGAACAATCTCAGCCCTCCTACTTCATATTCCAGACCTTCAACATTCCCGCCAGGATATAGCCATGTGAAGTGAGTTCTTACTATGGTCCTGAACCCAAGCTTCCAGCTCCTCCTGTTGATTTCCTCTGCTCTGTGCAGCCCCATTCAAGGGCTTCAGGTGGTCATAGGTTGCTGTCTTCCTCCCTTCACCACCTTTGCACAATTTTGTGGAAGATCCAGGAATGGAAGTCTTAAAAAAGACTTGCTAACAATGTTCTTAGTTCAGGTAATTTTTTAGTTTTAAATACAACACTCGATAGTCTCACTTTAACACTTACTTACTGACTCCAACTCCCTGCTCCTCAGACTCAGCCAGGAGAAGAAATCTGTCCTGATTTATCAGGTCCCTCTTTAAGAATAATGCTTCATATCCAAGAAACCAAATCCTCACGGTAAGGCCACTCAAGAGGCCAACTATCTATGTCTAATCACATTTGCTTTTTGGAGTCTCTTTCCTAAGGGGGAAGGAAAGGAAGGCCCAGAGGGTATTTCTTCCAAAGAGTCCCCGTACCCTTAAAGACCTACAGGCACAAGCTTTAGCACGTTCCCTGCACTTAGCAGCAAAAGATTGGATCTGCCTGGTTTCTAGATCTAGCCAATTTTAAGATGCTGAACAGGAAACTATCTGCCTTCAGATTTGGGCAGCTTCCAAATTAAGCTTATTCAGTGCCCGAGTTTCAATTCTAGCTAGTGTAGTGGAAAGAACAAAGAATCTGTACTCAAGAGATAAGTAAGCCCCAGCTCTGCCACAGACACACTCTGGGCAAATCCCTTCCTCTCCTTGAGCCTTTGTTTTACCATCTGTGAAATGAGGATCTTGGCCTCAATGATTTCTCTGTTTTCTCCAGACCGAGGTCCCATAAGGAGGACTGTCTTACCCTTAGCCGCCAGGAAACGTTCCTGGCCTGGCTGAAAGGTTTGCTTCTCCACCTTATTTTCTGGGTGGAGGAGACAGAGGATGGTGCATATTAGGACTTCCTGTGTCCTAGAATTTCCAGGCCTAGCAGAGATTTTCCAGCTAGCGGATATTTTGTGGGTAGCACAAATTTCAGCTTCAAGAATGTGAATTGCCTGTAATTGCTTGATGTAATTTCAGAAGAATTACAGGCAGAAACTCCTGCAGTCCAAGAGAATAATGGTTGCAGTGTAAACAGCGAATGTTCACTTATGAACATGTAAGAAGTCATTTAAGAAAAACCTCCTGCTGTGATCTAGTTCTGCAGTTGGTCCTCTTCAGCTTCTCTGCAATCAGGTCAGTATGTTTCTCATACTTATACGTTAGGCCCAAAGGAAAGCAGGTTCAAAATGATCTCGGGACCAAGAGCATGGCTTTAGAGGATTGACCTCCTTCTGCAGATTTCCTAGATTTCTTTACCAGAACACTGCATGATACAAAAGTCCAGGGATATTTGTACTTAGTTACCCATGTAGTCTTAGATGAAAGAATATACACATTCCTTTTCCTTTCAAAGCTAACTTCATCAAAGGGGCATTTCCTTAACCTTTCAGGTAAGCCTCAAACCTTGAGGGGGGAAGAGTGTGCAAGAGAGAAACAGAGAGGGAGAAAGAAAGTGCATTTGTGAGAGAGACAGAGAGAGAGAATGAGAGCAAGTGTGTGGGAGTACAAGAGACGGGAGGGAGGGGATTAGTTGTGGGAGTAGGATAATTTCCACTAAAAGGTGAAAATTAAGGGACTAACTCAGTTTATCTCTTTAGGCATGTGCCTTTTGACCATGTCAAGAAAATCCATATTAAGTGGCTTCTAAATCAAAGTGAATGTTTAAGGCTATGTTCATTCTCTTCCCAATAATGTCCCATATACAGGGTAGCAGTGCTGGGCAATGATCTGAGTTATAATTTCTGTCTTAAAGGGATGTGACAAGAGGTATGACTAAAGACTTGAAAATCAAATTTACTTCCTTAAAAAAACAGACTGCCTTGGTGGCGCATGCCCAGGCCCCACAGAAAAAGAGTTCCTCACTGATTTCAGCTCTCTGGATATTTTCTAACCTTTTCAGCTCAGGTCCTCAGGAGGACCACTTCTCAGCTTCTTTATAATAGGGACACAAGTTTTCCACAAGACTCCAGAGTACCCTGCTAGTCAAAGATGTGGCAAGTTGCACCTGCAGTCAATCATTCTCGCCTAGTCTTAGGTCAATAACCTATTCTGGAAAGCTCCATAAATCTTAACAGACAGAATCATTTCAGTCAAATAATTTTAATGAAAAATTATTAGCTTCTTCCCAGGTTTGAACCCAGAAACAAACAGGTACGTAAACTGGTTTGTTTCACAATTGGTTCTAAGGGGTAGGCCTATTGCCTAGTCCTGTCCTTAGAGGCTGTTTCGCCTTTGGATTCTCCACTCTTCAAGTAAGTGAGCACTTGTAGAAGTCCTTGGTCAGTCCCATCTCAGGTGCCGTGGAGACTTACTCAGCAACAGCCCAGTGGAACTGCACAAATAGAAGCTTCTTTAAAAAGACTAAAGGACCAGAGTAACACAGCAGAAAAAATTATATTAAATTCCTAAAGTGAGAAATACCTTATCTGAATATTGGGGAAATTGAATAAGGATTAGTTTTAGGCCAAGCAATGAGGGATTGCTATCTTTCCATAGGCAATGCCTTTTTCTCATAAGCTATCCCTGGACTTCACTCACACCTGATCTTTGATTTGATAAAGAAAGGGAAAAAAAAGGAGAAAAGAAAAGCTGGGTAAAGAGTGGTAGAAAGAGATAGAAGTTCAATTGTACAGAAGAGGGAATAAGAAACAAAACAGAAGTCATTTTTATACATTGAGAGTCAATCCTACTTTTTATGGATCATCACTGAAGAATAATTCCTTGTTCTTTGTAAACTACAATATGCAAGAAGATCATACGTAACTGAGTAAAATAATGGGCAACCAATGTTGAAAGAAATTTCTTTAAAAAATTTTTTTGTCTTATAGTTTTAGAAATAACATAACTTACCCTTTTTCTTGTTTTTGACTGGTCCTATTAGAAAAAAGAAAGAAAATGGAAAATTAAACCACTGGAAATTAACAGACAATGGGAGGTGTGATAAGAATCAAGATATATGTAAAAGTACAAGGTCCCAATGATGAATGTAACTGTACTGTATACCTAAAATGTACCAATTGAGAAAAAAAAAGAAATTAACAGAAAATGTTTATTCTCTAAGCTAGTAGGAGGAACCCTCAAAATACTACAGCCATGGGTCAGGTTTTTGACAAGGTATCTCCTAGCTATCAAATCTCCCTAAGTCTGTTTCTAGACTGTAGAGGTTACAAAAATTACACGGAAGGTTCTTTCCTAGAGAGAAAATTCTTTCAGTATCAGTATCTGGGGTGAGGGAATTGGTACTTCCTTGTAGAGATGAAATGCCCAGAAATGCACAACTCAACAACCTCAGGACTGCATTCTATTTACTCTGCGAATCCTGAGGTTGAAGAGTCATACATTCAGGGGGGGTTCTGATATGAAGTCTCCTGTGATCCAACTGGAAAGGAAACAGAGTTGCTTGCAGGAAAGGAGGAGAGCAGCAGCAGTTTGCTTCTTAGTCACTTCCTTTTCACAATTTGATTTGTTAGCTATGAAAATAATATGACCATAATACTCTCACAGGGGGGCCACAGGCACTCCCATTGTTATGTATCATAACTTAATGGATGCGTAAAAGAAAATGTCAACGACTTCATTAGCCGTGAAATCACTAGCAGTTTCTTGGGGAATGCTATTCAGGAAAGTAATTTTAATCAATAGAGGGCACTCAGAAAACCCAAGGCATTTCTAACATAGTTAGGTGACAACTATTCCCTAGACACAAGGTTTAGGTTTCTCTCAGACAGTTATTTCTTTTCCCTCCTAGTGACACAATTCTCTCCATTCTGTAGATGGATCTGACTTTCATTAGATACAGGTATTTAAAATCTGTTCCATACTCCCATGAAGATAATATTGTACAACATTAAACCACTGTTCATGGCCTCAGGAGCAAACAAAAAGAACACCAAATATTCCTAGAATGATCTTTACCCATGAGAGCAGGCTCTATTAGGGGTCAGTAAAATCTCTAGCCTGGAAACCAGAGCTGCACAAGCTCCTTAAAAATCCAATGTCTGTGCTAACTTCCTGGCAAGGCAGTTTATGTTTAGGTATTGTGCGCAGATCAGGTATCATGTGCAAGAGTTGGTAGTGTATGTTTCAAGTTGAGTTGAGAAACCCTGTGCAGTGAAGGCCACGAATCTCCATTCTCATACAGTTCTTTTTTTTTTCTCCTTTCTTCTCTTCCTAGTATTTTTTCTGTGTATGTGTGTGTGTAGCGGGGTGAAGACAGAACCCAGGGCCTTAAATATGCTAGGCAAGCTCTCTGGGCTGAACTATATCCCAGGCCCTCCCCCCAGTCTGTCTGTTTTTCTTTCTTTCTTTCTTTCTTTCTTTCTTTCTTTCTTTCTTTCTTTCTTTCTTTCTTTCTTTCTTTCTTTCTTTCTTTCTTTCTTTTATTTCTTTCTTTCTTCCTTTCTGTCTCTCTCCTCTCTCTCTCTCTCTCTCTCTCTCTCTTTTGCTACCTTTTATATTTTTAACAGCACTGCACTGAGAGTTCTTGAGAATGCACATGGAGGTTTGGCAGGGAAGCACAATTACACAGACACAACTAAGAGGCAGCAGGTTAACCTGAGAATGCCCTCTTCCATGAACGAGGAAGCCGTTTGGGGAAGGACTTACACAGAAAGGGTCCAGCCCCTTCAGCTAGCTACCAGTCAGCCAGTGAGCTTCCTCAGTGTCAGAGAGCAGCAAGAGTGCAGGATGACAGTTGTTGCTGCCACCCCTGCCCTGATGGCCAAGGTGTGCTAGCTTTGGCAATTTCATCTGGTTAAGGGTTAGCATGGTTATATCAAACTTCAAAGCAAGGTTTGAGGAAATCAGACCATAACCAGCCAACCAGTCCTTACTGACTGCCTAGGGAAAGTAGCAGTCAATAGTGAAACACAGCTCCATCCTCAAAGAAATTACAGTTGGATAGAAAGATAGTAAAGAAGGGGACTTCAGGGATTATTCTGGCTAGTTGAGGAAAAAGAACTTCCTGGAGGATGTTTGACTTAAATGCACAGGTGAAAAGAGGGATATTTTTATGCCAGATAAACCTTACATTGGCATACATGTATATTTCATATACATCACATGTATATAGTATATAAAATGCAGAAGAAAAGGAAAACTAGTTCATTAAAGTACCCATAAATAATCACTATTAACAATTCTCTATGTATATTGAGTTTTACAAGATAGGACCAGGGCCAGGGATTTAGCTCAGTGGTTCCACCACCTGCTTTGTAACCTCAAAGTCCTGAGTTTCATCCCTGGTACCCCCGCAAAAAACCGAGAAACAAAATGGAACCAAATTCAAAATGTTTAGTAACACTTTTCTATGTCAAGAACTATATTTCTACCTTGTCATTTTTAATATGAATGTATCAATATCTACTTAATAACTTTTGATGGACATTTAGGTTGTATCTAATTTTTCATTATTATAAGCAATGCTATAGTTAATGTTTTTACAAGTATACATTTTTATATACTTGTCCAAAGATTTAATTTTAGAATGCATCATTAAAAATAGTACTGCTGGAGCAAAAACTATAAAAGGCTTTCCTTATATGTAATTAAACCTAATAATCTTTTCCTATATGCGGGATTTACTCCTTTTGTGTTGTGCTACTTTAGTCCCTCCCTAACATAGTATTATAGAAGTATCTATATTTTTCTAGTTTTTTGTGGTTTTATTTTTATTTGAAAATCTATAATTAATCTGACATAGATTTTGGTGCACGATGTGAGGTGAGGAGCTAGATGCAATTTTCTTTATATTTCCTCCCAGATAGCCATGGCATGAAAAGCACTTAGTGAAAGAGGCTCAAAGTACTTTTTCCACTTCATCTTAGGTCATAGAAAGGTGCTGAGGGGCTTCTGCTTAGTAAACATTTGCTATACCCCGTGGGGCAGAGAAAGAAGATGTACAAAGTACATACTAGGTTGCTATTAGCCCACACAGGGATAATGAGCACTGATACCTCAGCAATATAGGGGTTCCTTCTTGTTCTAATCTAGCTTCTTATGGCCAGTAAATAATATTTAGAATTTTCAACATGAACCCCTAAGCCTTGATTCTGTCTCTGTCATGACCATTGATTTCACTTGAGGCTACTCTTTTCTTTTTTTCCAGCTTCTAGACAGAAAATGCTAGGGAGTTAAGCTGATCCACACTTGAACTAAACATCTTGACACAGAGTAGAAACAGTAATCCCTGCTGAATTTTATAGCCTTTTAGATATACTGATTTATTTTCTCTAGATTCTTCAGAATGTTATTCTTACCTACTCAGAGTACTTCCATTGGCTCATATCTGCTTCCATGGTAACAAGCTATACTTCTAGATCATTCCAATTCCTCCTATTCGTTGAAATAATGTTTTGCACAGGCAAAACCTACAAATGCATTAGAGTAGGACAGATAGCTATGGAGTACTGAGACTGCATTGATCATGAAACTGAGATAAGACAGATTATGATAAACAGAGGCAGGCAGTCTACCTATCTGACATTAAGAAAAGGGCATTGTGTAACAGAATCATGGTCCTGGAGGGTAGCAGCTGACCTAGACAGATTCTAGTTCTGACTCAACCACAAAATGACCAAATGCTAAATTAGGGAACACTATATTCTCCATATATATATATATATATATATTCAAGTCCTAGATTTTTGATGAAAATTGGTGTTATAAAAGCAAGCTAGAATTCTGTGTCCAGCAAAATTATCTTTCAAAAATGAAGTAGAATCTGGGTGTGGTGGCATAAACCTATAACCCAGAACTTTGGAAAGCTAAGGCAGGAGAATGCCAAGTTCAGGCCCCACCTGGAAAACTTAGTGAGACCCTGTCTGAAAATTAAAAAAAAAATGATAGAGACATAGGTCAGTGGCGTAGTGCCCCTGGGCTTGGTCCTTATACCAACAAAAACAACAACAAAAAGTGGGGTAGTAACTTTAAGACAAAAATTTAAGGAATTCATTGCTGCCAGTAGATTGGCCTTGGAAGAAGTTTTAGCAGAGGTTCTTTGGAGATAAGGAACTTCATACAAATCAGGAATATGGATCTACATTCAGAAAGGTAGTGAATTAGAGAAGGAATTAGAGAAGGAAGGTAAAAAAAAGGAAAACTTTTATTTATGATTAATAAGATACAGTTTTGTTCAAAACAGTAATAGCAAAAATGCATTCCATGATTATGGCTTATGGATATATGAAACAAATGACAGCAATGTTATAATGGATAGGAGGAATTGTGGGACTAGTCAGCTAAAAGGTGCCTGTATGACCTGTGAAGTAGCATAGAGTTACTTGCAAATGGACTTTGGATTAGTTGTAAAACTACGTCTCAAACAGTAGGACAATCAATAAATTTTTTTGATAAAAATATAACTGATATGCTGAGAAGAGAAAAATAGAATCACATAAACTGTTAAATTAAAATCAAGGAAAGTGGAAAAAGAATGGAAGTAAAAAAACAAAAAACAAAAAAAGGCAATGAACAGAAAACAACAAATATGGTAGATATTAATGTAAATAATTATACATAAGATATTTACATAGTATATTATATAAATAGTGAATGCTATAAATATACCAGTTAAAGTACAAAAGACTCACGTGGATAAAACATAAGACCCAACTATTTATTATCTATAAGAAATGCACTGTAAACATGAAGATATAGATAGAAAAGGGATCAGAAAGACAAATTGTGCCAACACTAATCAAATAAAAGTTAGATAAAAGTTAGAGTCTTGATATTAATTTCAGACAAAGCATACTTAAAAGCAAGGAAAATGAAGAAAGATAAAAAGACATTATATAATGATAAAAGAGTGCAATACTCCAAGAGAAAATAACAATCTTTAATATATATATGTACCCAAAAAGAGCATCAAGATATATTAGGCCAAAAGTGATAGAACTGCATGGAGGAATAAACTAATCTACCACTAAGTTGGAGAATTCCATATGCCCACAGTATTTTCCACATCCAGCAAGTAGAAAATCAGTGAGATACAGTTGAACTGCATAGTATTATCAATGAAACAGATTTAATTGATATTTATAGGCTACTTCATCTAACAATAGAAGGACACACTTTCTTTTCAAGTTCATGTATAACACAGATCGAGGCAAGCTACATTTTGTGCCATAAAAGACACCTTAACACATTTAAAATAGATATCACAAAAAGTATGTATGCTGTGACATCAAACTGGGATTAAACTAGAAATAAATAATACAAACATATCTGGAAAATCCTAAACTATTTGAAAATTAAATAACATACCTTTGAATAATACATTGGGTCAAAGAAAATCATCTCAAGGAAATTTAAAAAAAGACTTCCTACAAAATTAAAAATTAAACCTATCCAATTTTGTGGGTGCAGCAAAAACCATGAGTGAAATGTATAGCATTAAGTGAAGATTTTAGAATAGGAGAAAGCATTAAAACCAATATCTAAACTTTCACTTTAGAAAGTTGAGAAAGAATAAGTGAAAATCTAAACTAAGCAGAAGAAAATGTATAATGAAAATTAGAACAGAAATAAATGAAAATAAAAACACTAAAGCAAAGAACTCATCAGTGAAACCAAAAGCTCGTTGTTCGATAAGACGAGTAATATTGGTAATTTCCTATTCAGACTAACCAGGAAAAAGAGAGAGAAGACATAAATTACTAATGTCAGAAATGAAATAGGCATTACAACAGATCTCATGAACATTAGAAGAATAGTGGAAGACTATTATGAATAACTCTATGCTCACAAATGTAGTAACTTAGATGAAATGGACTAATTCCATGAAAGACATGAGCTATCAAGACTCACACAGGTAGAAATATATGATTTGAATAGGCCTATATCTATTAAAGAATTCAAGTCAACAATAAATAATCTTCTGAAGTAGGAAGCACCAAGGTAAAAGAGTTTTATTGGTGAATTTTACCAAACATTTAAGGGAGAAATTATATCAATTCTTTATAATCTCTTCCAGCAAATAGAAGAGAATATATTCTACTTCATTCTATGAGGTCACCATCATGCTAACACCCAAACTAAACAAATATATTACAGGAAAGAAAAACGACAGACTGATACCTCTCTTGAACATAGATATAAAAATTTTCAAGTATTAGTTAATAAAACAGCGTATTAAAGAATTATACACCATTGCTATGGTTTAAATCTATACCCCAACTCTCAGTTGTTGGAAATTTTATCCCCAATGCTGTAGGACCTTTGCTGAGTAATTGGGTTGCTAGGATTCTCATTATTGGATTAATAGATAATTGTGAGAGTTGGTTTGTTATAGAAATGATCTCTTTCTGGCATGCATGCTGCCATGTGATACCATTTGCCATGCCATATCTCAGTGAAAAGGCCCTCATTAGATGCTGGCACCAGGTTTTTAGAGTTTTTAACCACCAGAATAGTGAGGCACATAAACCTTTATTCTTTATATATTGTCCAGTCTTGGGTATTTTGTTAAAACAACCACAAATGGACTAAGACAACAACCAGTTGGGATTTATTCTGGTATGGAAGGCTGGTTCAACATTCAAAAACCAAAGAATCCATCACACATCAATTGTCCAAAAAAGAAAAATCATATAGTGTCAATATATTTAGAAAAAGCCTTTGACAAAATCCAACATCCCTTCGTGACAAAACTTGGCAAATTAAGGATCACAGACCATTTCTAAATTGAAAAAGTATTACAAAAAACAAAAACAAAAACAAAAAGACCCATTCTATAGCTAACATCATACTTAATGGTGAGAAACTAG